CCTATGGGCTCAATCCTCGCACGATGCGGGGCTCGATAGTCGGGGCATGCACTGCTCTGACTCGGATCCTGGGCTAGTCACGCCCGGGCTGATGCGTCGTCCGATCGGCGGCGCTGACTGCGCGACCAGCGAGCGTCTGGAGCGCAACGAATCCCACCTGCACAGATGGTGGGCGAAGCCCCCCGCGTTTCATGCGGGGGCAGACGAGCACGACATTGCCTACAGTGCCGTGCCGCAGAGTCGTGGATGTACATCTGCGCGGCGGACTGGGCCGCATGCGGCCAGTCTGTGGCTCGGCAGGTCAATGACCTCTCGACACTTTCGTCCGGAGCGGGGGGACCCGCACTTGTCGAAATATATACATTGATGGTAACGGGATACCCGTTAGCACAGTGAGAGCCCCCGCTACTTTCGCCGTTCTCTCGACGGTGTGGGAAGTGGGGTATGGGATACATCGCAAAATAGCTCGCAAATTTACGAGCTAGTTTGCGCTGTATCCGAACCAAATTAATTAACCCAGACCATCCCTTGTTCCCGACCGCGTACATCACTCCTTGCCAAGTCGGCGTGTTTGTCTGTAGTTGGGATACCAATATATTTCGTGTTTTCGCGCGAAAAAAAAAAAAAAAAAAAAAAAAAAAAAAATTTGTTGACAATCCACCTGAGCCATCTAACCGGTTAGATGGCTCAGGTGGATTGTCAACAAAATGACTGACTCTCGATGACCGAGCTTATGTAATCCCAATGAAGGTTGATGTTGGTTCGATTCCCATGATGGGCAGAACATTTATTCAACTGGGGAATTTGTGGGAAATTCATCTGGCGCTAACCGGCCACGGGAAAGACCCGGAATGAAGCTCTGACAGGTTGTCAGAGTCAGTCATTTTGTTGACAATCCACCTGAGCCATCTAACCGGTTAGATGGCTCAGGTGGATTGTCAACAGAAGCTGCAATACTTAGGTAAGTCCGATCAAATTTCAAACTCTGTGACTCTTTGTTCGCCATCACGCTTGCATCACGCTCCTTCGACTGGTCCTTCGAAATGCTCACCGCTGCCGCGGCGCTTCGAGCGCAACTCGATGACATTGAAAAGTCGCTGGCTGCGCTTGAGTCACAGATGACGTCCCTGCGTACACAAAAGGAGCGGCTCTTGACGGACCTTGACAGTCTCAAATACCCCGTCCTCACGCTGCCCAATGAAATCACCGTCGAAATCTTCTTTCACTTCGTCTCGCTGATGCGACAAGTACCTTACCGGCCGCAGCCATATCATGGCCTGCTAAAGCTGGCGGGTGTTTGCCGGACTTGGAGGGCTGTGACGCTGTCGACATGTGCGCTCTGGAGCGGTGAAGTCCAAGTCACCTGCAGTGCCATTCGCAATGCCAGTAAACTGCTCGAGACTTGCCTTCCACGCGCAGGCAGCCTTCCGTTGGACCTATACATAAAGCTTCCGCCAGACATCTCTTCCACGGACATGATCATTTCGACTCTGATCCTGTACGGCTCGCAGTGGCGGCGCATACACCTGTCCTCGCCAGTCATGTGCATGTGGCGCTTGACTTCCCCCATTGATCGCTTCCCTCGCTCGCTCCCTTTGCTCGAATGTCTAACATTGTCCAATTTGCGAGCGGACGATAACTCCGTGTCTTCACTTCGTCATGCACCCCACCTATGCGAGCTAAGCCTTCATAACTCTTCGTGGGCGATCCAACTTGGGCTCCCTTTCAACAAGTTGACAAAACTTAATCTCTCTTCCTTCAGTATCACCCCACTGCTCGCGGTTTTGGCATACACGCCGAAACTCGAATGTCTTGAGCTTGGGTATGCCACCAATGATGCACAGGTCGTCCCTCTATCCATTTTGCTTCCACACCTGCACACCTTCGCGTGCGAGGAAGACCCGTCCACCATGGTCCTCCAATACCTTACACTGCCCGCTCTCGAGCAGCTAGTGCTGTCGGACCTCTCCGGTGCAGGTGTCCATGCGGTACAGTCGTGCATTGCTCGATCTCACTCTACAATTCACACTCTGGACATCGTTGACTTGTATTTCAATGCTGCGTATGACTGTTTATGCAGCCTCCCCACTATCAGAAATTTGGGCCTTTCGAGTCTGCCGTGGTCGCTTGACGATAAGGATAGCTTCTTTGCCGCAATGATATCCGGCAGTTGTCTTCCTGCCCTGGAGTCCCTGACTTGTGAAGAATGCTGGTCTATGAAACCTGATCAACTGTTTGAAGTGGTTTCGGCGAGATGGCGGGGCATGGAAGGGACGGCAAAACTCAACTCGGTCTCGCTCTACTTCGAGGAGGAGGATAGCTCAGAGTTCGCAAACGCGGTGGACCACCTGTACGAATTGGGTCGCCAAGGACTCAAACTGAAAATAACTGGAGCGCCAGGCGCCACAAGATACTAACAAATGTCCTGTACGCCGTTTCAATCTATGACTTGTATGCATTCAATCTCAATGAACATGCATAGCCGATCCATTAACCGGCAAAAACCGGAAGTTTTGTCATAGATCGACAACCATGTTTTGTCATACCGTGATAATCTCAAAGTGTTGAATCGAGTAATGCGAGGGACAGCTTAGCCTCGGTATCCTCATGGGACGCTGTGGGGCAGAAGCGTCGGTTACGGCCGCGGGCTCGGACCTTCTGATGGGATTCCTGTCACGGTCGTCTTTAAGTGAAGGGCCCACTACCAGTGAATTTATTTCTGAGCTCTGAGATCGAATCGCGCCAGCCTTAAGGGCTGCGCTCCCCTCCGAGTCTTCGTGACCAAAGTAGACGGCCGTCTGTCAAACAGAATATACTCTTGCGTGATTAACTGTTCAACATCATTTGCTTCCGAGGGCAGGCACAGAGGCGACACGGCAATGGAGGTGGCACACCGTTAAAGCTTTGTATGGCGTTTGAACCCATGACCGTCTACACGTGTCAACCTGAAAACCCGGGTCCTAGTAGTTATACCCGGGTAGACACACTGCACTCGGGTTCCGTTTGGCTCCGTTAGACAGCTAGAGACAGCTTGCCAGCTGTTGGCTACATTAGGAGATGTCCCTCGACAGGGCCCAGGTCTATGTGTACCAGGGCGTCCGAACGCGGTGGTGATCATGATAGCTGCGCGCACGTATTTAAAGGGTACAAGCGGTTCAAAGTTTTCGGCCGCGCCGGATTCTGCGCTCCCACTTGCCAGTCCTAAAATTGTCCGTGACATTCCACTCTTGTTGAGTTGTTCATTCCAGGTCAACCGTGGCGAACGGAGAGAGACATGACAAATATTATAACGAACCAAAGTCGGGGGTGAAAGGCCGACGGACACTGCGCTTGAGTAAGAAAATTGGATATTGGATACAATGGATAGGAATCTCCCATGCATGGGCCTAATATTGTGCTTGCCGGCGGCCGGCGGTGAATATTTTTCGTACGACAGAACGCATTCATGTTGTTTGATCACGATCATATTTTGCGGCACGCAATACTTTTAACCACACTACTTTTACGCATCTACATACTAGCCCCCATTCTCCGAGTCCTCGCTATCTCAATGCCATTAGCAGACACGCTCGATCCCACCCAATATAATCTCGCATGGACTGGCACGATCGTGGCAACAGGGGTACGTGATATCACAAGAACATGGACCGAGAATTGTTCAATAACAACTGGCGTAGCTGGCGCTCATGTTTTACGGTGGATGGACGTTTTACCGGTCGTTCGCACGTCCACACCTGATCGGCTCTGCAGGGATTTACATCAACCTCTTCATTCTGGCGATCCCTTTCTCGAGCCCGGCGAAAACTGCGAGGAAGAAGGTTCTGTTGCTCGCGTGCTGTGTTGCACCATGTTCATTCTGGGGACGACTGGAATAAATATCCCAATCTTGCAGGCACTAGTAGCCTGAGACGCGGGCGCCAAGCGGGCGCAAAATTTGGGGGTCCCTTCCAGCCAAGGTTTTGGATCGCTACGATACATTGCAGGTTCCTGGCGTTTGTATCGTATTCATATCCATGATTATCCTACTCAGCCCACTTGAGCCGTATCGTATCTATCTTACATATGCATTGTATCTATATTTTGACTTGAATAGATAGTATTGCAAATTTTGCATATCGTCGACTCGGACCTCAGACTCCGGCGCCCAGTTAGTCACGCAGATGAACTTTGACTCGGAGCCTATAGTCTCGAAGCGATAAGTACTTCGCGAGCGCCGCGCCCGCGGGCGTGGCGACGGCGATTTCCGTTAAGGTGACGGAGGTGCAGATGCTGGCGTACGGACAAACCCGGCGCGGGCTCGTGATGCACAGCACGCGGCTGGCCGTTTCAAAGGCGCAGCCTTACGGAAGGATCTATTAGAGTTTTAAGTTATAAACGCCTCAGACGAACAGTGGTGACTGGCAAACGCCACCAAACTGATGTCTGTCTGTTCTTTATTTGTCGACAGTCGGTCCTGGGCTACAGCCTTCTGCACACATCCTAACGCCTCAAACTAAAATTTAGGCGTACTCTGAGAGGTATCCTCAGGGAATGTACCGCGTACAATTTTTAAATCGAGCCTTTAAAAAATATGGATGTCCAGATTTGGTAGGGATTTGATGGTCAAATTGGATAATAAATTCCTTGAGCACAATCAAGGGGAAAAATAAAAAATCTGTCCGGTACGTTCCCTGTGAATGTTAATGCTCAAGAGATCTTGTACTGAGAGTTTGTTGAAAGAGGTAATGGTTGAGGCGGTATGATGCACACGATTTCAGTCGGGTGACTTCAACAGCACACCGGCCAGCGAGATCTATACAGCTGTAGGCTTCTCACGGAGATGGGTTGCATTAATGGTGGTGACGTAAAGATCTTTACGGCGGTAGAATTGGAGTCCCAATCCGTGGAACAGAAACAGAGAGAAAAAAAAGAATTGAGCACTGCAGGACTCGAACCTGCAACCTTTTGGTTGATTATGTCATGCAGGTCACGTGAAGCGACACAAAAGACTTTTCAAAAGATGAGCACGGCAGGACTCGAACCTGCAACCTTTCGATGACTAGGGCATAAGCTCGAAGTCGAACTCGCTAACCATTGCGACACGCACCCTATGCCTTGTGCTGTTTGGGCTATCATATGTGCTGGTCCAGACGAACCCTGTCTGGCAACGTTGCCAAGACGACGGGGCTTGTTATTTATCGGCTTCATCTCTCTGCCCTAAATCTATTACAGCAGGTACTAATCATATTTTCCACTGGGAGCTCCAGCCCAGGCGCGTCAAAACAGTTAGATTAATGAAGTTACACATTCATACGTTCCAACTCCTCGCGTTCCCAATATTTCTTTAACTGGTCAACAGTGAAAAAGCTATTTTTGAATTGTTCCCATCGTGTATCCTTGTCCGCCATTGCGGCTCGCCAAGCCTTGCGGTTCGATTTCTTCAGTTGCGAAGGATGTTTGAATCCATTGTGGACGTAGCGGGCAAGAGCGCCCGGAGTGTACTGGACGATGGATGTGCGGGTCTCACCTTCTTGGATGCAAGCATTGCCGTGGGTTATCAAAGCAGAGGGGAATAATATGGTCCAGCCCGCCGGTAGTTCAACAAGTCGCTGAGCTTCGATTAGACCCAGGTGGCCCCCTTTTTTGGAACAGAAGGGGCCGAATGCGTGGACGGCGCAAACACTGAGCACGTCTGTCGTGTCCCGATGCCAGATTGCACAAGAACGAGGGCCAAAGTTTATGGCCATCATGGAGAAAACGGATGCAAAGGTGGTTCGGCAAGCATTCCCAAGGTGTTTCTCGATAGCCTTGATGCGCTCGTGCGCCTCCTGGTAGAACCGCGGAAAGTAGCGCGCCATAGCCGCTATTTGCTATGAGTCAGAGACGATGATGCGTTGTAGAACACACCTGAGGCAGCGTTCCCGATCCTGTGCCATGTGTTCTCGTTTTTACGTAGGCGGTCAACAACCTCAGGCTTTGACGACTTCATCAGCGTCATCTTGGGCAGGTAGTAACTGATAAAAGCGCCAAAATTGAGCGATGTGACACCTCTCAGGGTGTCTTCCTCTTTCACGCCCCATTCACCGGCATTGCGTTCAGCGAGTAGGAGCTCATGCAGCTCTCGGCACGAATCCTTGAACGACGGGTCATCCTGTTGTACGGCGATAGCGTAGACCCTTTCGTTTTTGTCGCAGAGGATCAGAGGATGTCTATGCAGAGTTAGACAATGTTTAGCGACTATAGACAAGCGTACTTTGATTCGACGGGCACCTCCTTTAGACCCCATTCGAGCAGATCGTTCTTTGACGAACGGCCCTCCGGTAAAGGCTTGAGACCACGCTTCTGCCTGTGTCGTAAGCCCAGGTCGTTGTTCACCGCAGTCCACCCGCTCGAATCATTCTCGACGTCCCCCATGTCCATTGGAGTCTCGTGCACGGTCGCCTGCTCCTGATGGGCGTGCACTAGCGCATTTTGCGGGAGATCATGGTAGCCAAGCGTCGCTTTTCTGTCCCGCCGCAGCTGTTTCTTGGTGGCTTTGGCGGCGGCCCTGCGAGCCTGCTTTGACTGAGTCTGGTTTGGATGACGGTTTTTAGCCTTAGGCTTCTCGACTCGCCCAGACAGGGTCACGGGAGTCTTGCGTAGGACGGGCGTTGCAGAGTGTGTGGCCGGCGGAGGAGGCGCGTCGGGAGGTATGGATATACGGGAGGAATCGGTGGCTGTCGAACGAGGGACAGATAGCCCAGATGCAGAAGCGGAAACGGGAACGCCGTTGCGAGTTTCATTAACACCCCAAAAGCTCAGTCCTTCAGCATCCATGGCACCCCCGACACCATCGTCATCCAACTCCCCCTCCTCGCGCGACTCCTCTTCTTTCAGCGATTCGTCCAGCGCCGTCTCGTAGCAAGCGAAGAGATCAAAGTCGGGATTGTAATCCACTACGGCATCAGGCAAATCAATGAGCAGTTGGTTTAAATCCATGGATTAAGCAGATGCGCGCCGGATGTATGTGTTTCGGCGCTGAAACGCCGTTTACTGTAGTCACAGTCGCGGTCACATTTGTTTTCTTCCAGTATCATCGCACTCAAAAGTATTGCCCTTTATCGGTAACTAGCATCACAGGAGTATGTATACATTACAGAGCTACGTGGAGGGCGCAAGGAATTTAAGTATGATACAATATTTATGCTAGGGAGCCGATGACGAGGCACAGAAAGCAGCCGGCGGTCAGCGAGCAGCGCGCTACGGAGGGTAGGCACGCAAAACAGGAAGCGGACGCGGCGGGCGACACGGAGAGCTGGCACCACGGGTGTTGCGGGGGGGGCAAAGCAGCGTTCGGCGAGCGGCGGGCGGCGGCGGCTGCTGGCATCAGGCCGCGGGGAGACAGCAGGCAGCGCGGTGAGCACCGAGAAAACAGGCACATTCAGCGACTTAGGCACGGTGTAGCTGGCGGCGCGCGTGTGCAGCGGGCGGCGTTTGACAAACAACGGCCGACGTGTGGTGAGCGATGGATGTGCACAGTTGCAGCAGGACTTGCGCGTGCAGCGACGCGTAACCCCCGGGCTTCCATCTCGCACGTTGCGCACACCGCTTGTCCGCCCTCCACCCCGCGCTCGCAGGGCCGAAATCGCGCTCGTCAGCGCGGCACTGCTCGTCATGACCGCCGACTGCTCTAACTCCCGGCCGCCAACCCGACCTCGCACTCGTTGCCCCTGCGCTCGTCATGATCACCATGGTACAGTCTCTGCCCGCGCCGACCTCGCGTACGTGCCGTCCACCGACCTCTCGTCCGTCGTCGCAGCACAGCGACAGCTAGTGCACCTGCGAGCACGACAAGTGGGATGCGCGGCAGCTTCTAAAAGAAAGCCAAGGGAAGCCGGGTGGCGGTACTAGGTGGATGGCGGGGCGGAACTATGGCGGGGCGGAAATACGGCGTCGGGAGCGTCGGTAGCGCGATCGGCATCGATGGGACGCGGCTGCAAGCTGGATGGTGCGGTGCGGGAGGAACGCTGCCCAACGGCGAGGCGCGCATTCCCATAGTGTCGTAGTCGTTGGGATAAGGTCCTATGGAGGAAGTCTGATAAAATAAGCATCAACGAGTAATTTCTGGAAAAACGATGCTTACTTTGAAAATCGCAACGGCTTGCATGCGGCACTACAAGCGCTCGTCACCAACGGCATCCGTTGGCGACCCCTAAAGAGCGCGTACTTGAGCGATCCCTACAGCGCTGTTTCGGAGGATTCTTGAGGTTTTGTGTCATTCGCGGCGGTCTGGGCCGCGTACGTGAACCGGGCAGCGGCGAGTGGTGGGGAGCGAGGGCAATGGGGGCGGGAGCATGCGGCTGGGTAGAGATCGGCATACAGCTTGCGGCCGAAGCGTGCGTATGTGGTGAACGTGCGTATGTGGTGAGCGTGTGCCATGCGGCGTTGCAGCTGACAGGTGGCGGGTGGCGGGCGTCATGGGGCGTGCGTGTAGCATACGACGGGCCAATGACTGATGACGGGTAGTAGGTGGCTGGTTGCGGTGGTTGGTGGTCGTAGCATGCAGCCGGCCTTTGTCGGGTTAGGGTTACGGTGACGCGCGGGCGGCGCACGCCACCGCCAGGCGCTAGTCGAGAGCGGCGGGCAGGGTGGCATTGGGCAGCGGGCGTGTAGTGTTGCGGTGAATAAGGACGGGAGAGTGCCGGCTAGTTGCCGGCTAGTGTACTGAATCGAGTGAGACCGAGAAAAGAAAGGGAATAAAGACGGCTTACCGGATCTTCTACAACGTGGGCAAGAAGGATTGCGCAGGGAGGAGGTAAAAGAATAAAGCAGCCAGCCGCAGGATCTACGGTACAAGTGTTGTCGCTGAAATACACTGCGTTGTTGCTGGCAAAAGGAAATGGTCACGGGTAATCCTTTTATTCGTTCCAGTCACGTGGTTGCGCAAGAAAGGCGTAAAGAGTAACTTTTACATCTCGATGTGGGCAGCTACTTAGTCTACTGAGGTCGCAATGGCCGCCCGCTCCTCGAGCCAATCGTCAATCGCTTTTACCATCATTTTCCACACAGACTCCTCAACCTCCAGCCCATACGCGCCGACGTCCGACGCTTCGCTCTGACGGAGCTCGTATACGCCGACTTGGCCTGCGGCCAGCTTGCTGGCAAGGTCATCCGGCACGATCTGCGGAAACTTCGCAGCGAGCATGTCGACACACTCCTCGAGCTCCCGTGCCGATATCCATTTCTTCACCGCCCCCGAGAATCGCGAGTACCCCGGCAGCGTAAAGGTGAAATCGCATTCAGGGATGCGGCTCTTGGGCAGATGCGAGAGCTGCTCGACGGTTAAGCCCGCGTCCACCAGCTTCTCGACGTTGATGGCGACAAACTCGGGGTGGAGGACGACGACGGCGGCGAGGCAGCGGCGCAGGAGGAAGTCGGGGGAGATGGCGACAGGCGCTGGGGTCGCGGGTGTCGAGACGGATTTAGCCTTGGAAGGTGGAGGCGCCTTTACGCGTCGCTTCGCCGGGACCTTGGGCAAGATGGCGGCAGAAATGTTAAGCTTGTAGAGGATATGATTGTACCAGCGCTTCATAACGTCCGTCTTCCTGTAGTCGACGAGGGTAGACGCGGGCATAGGCTTGCGCTTCTTCTCGGGAATGCGCTCGTCCGCCAACAGAAGGGCGTCGTTATGGAAAAGGAATTCGGGAGGGAGGGTAAAGCCAAGGTAAAGCACGTCGGCTCATGGTGGTCGTGCGTACAATGCTCAAAGTCGCACTTGGCGTCAGCCCCGCAGTGCGTCCCACACTGGATGAGCGGGTAGTGGTGCGATTTGTGCAGATGCTCAATGTAGTCGCCAGTCTGCATCCTGTAAGTATACGAAATCAGATAATGTCGACGAAAGAATTCTTTTGAGGGTACGTACTCGTCCGTCCCGTCGCACGGCGGCAGTCTGCACTCAAAGTATATGTTATAGTCAATTTCCATAGCGCTATGGCGCTTCCAGTGCGTGGGCATGTGAGCCATGAGCTTGGGGAAATTGGGGAACGAGCTGAAAAAGACGATCAACGCTCTGAAAGGGCACGCAGCACAACTTAAATACGCACATAAGGCGCGCCATCAAAGTCAGTTTC